AAAAAAAAAGACAATAATTTTCAAATTTACTGAAATTAATAAAAATATTTCAAGGAAATCGAAAATTTTAATGCAAAACTAATTTTTGACATAATCGATTACTATCCAAGATTAAGTAGATTTATTAAATAGTATAAACAATCTCATCCTATTTTACCTATTGATTATAGAATCTATTTAAATATAAAATTTAGCTAACATATATTTTTATCCCAAGTTTGAATGAAATGGATTAAAAAAAATAAATAAGATCCTTGTTTATTTAAAATGTAAGATTATTTTTTAAATGAAACATACATTTGCGAATCGACTTGACATCCATCTAACTTTTTAAGTGAATATGAACACATGTATAATCTATCGAAAAATTACATACTATGTACTGTTATTAATGATAAATATAGAATGGAAAATAAATAAAAAATGTAAACGTATGTCTTGTTCATGAATATCTATTATCTATACTATCTATACTTTAGTTTAAAATTTATACATTTATGTTATTTCAGATTTATATTTAATATGAATAGCACCATTTTTACATAAAGACAGATGATAAAAAATTTTTTGTTATTTTTATTTCATAATTTTGTATTATACATACAAAGATGAGGTGCATGACTTATAGAAGACAAAAACCATTTACCAAAAAAAAAACAAAAAAATATGAAATTGAAGTAAGTTTATTATCAAATTAATAATAAAAATAAATAGCGTAAAAAAATCGATTTAGTCAGATAAAAAAATAATAATGTGATTTAATACGTTTTTTTATAGTTTAGTAAAAAAGTGAAGTTTACAATTAATCAAAAAAGTGACATCAATTTTAAAAACTTGACAAAAATTAAAATTTATAATTTTAATGATGCCATAAAAATATTGGAGGTGGGTGACGAGGAAAAGTGTGTCATCCACAAGTATAAAATATGCAATTCAGCCGGTTTTCGAAAGCAGTGGCAGCGATTAAAAAAATTAGAGGAATCTCGAGCACTCAATCTTAAATAAAAAGGAAATGGGTCTAGAAAAATAGATTTTAGAAAATAAAACTAAAGAGGTACCTTTTTATTAAATAAAAACTGAAATATTAGTTATTTGTGTGGTAATTAAAAAGTATCATTAAAAATATTATTTACGCATGAAAATAATTTTAATTTTAGTTATAACCTATTAAAATTTTAGTATTTCACCATTTTTTTTTAGTGAATTTTCTAATCAATTACTTATATCGTATTGCTTAGCAATTTTCATCCTTTTTATATTCGAATAAGTACTTACCATCAACCCATTTTGAAAATGGTCATACATCAATTGATTTAATAACTTACTTTTTTTCATGTAAGGAGCCTATTATTAGGGACTACATAAATATAAATATTATGATTCTTAAGATTTCTTTACATTCACGAAGGAGGTGTGTTCATAATTTATCTAAATTTCAAAAATATTTATAAACAAATTAATAATTAATAGATCGATATTTTAAATTTATACATCAATATTTACTAATAGAGCTGTAGAAAAATTTCTGAAAATAATTTTTAACTTTAATCATACATTAATACATATTTTGTAATAACTAAATAAAATAATGGTATACCTTTTTTAAATTTATATGTTGGTTAGGATAATGTATTTCAATATAATAACTAATGACCTGATTGATATTTGAAAGAGTTGACTTATTATATATTTATAATCATTGATAATTCCCTTATAATAAGTGTTATATATTAATATTTATTATTGGTTTTACTAATTTATAGTAAGCTCATGAATACAGGAGTGTCTATTTCGATGATTTATTAAAAATGCATAGTTTAATGTTTTTATTATTTTAAACGAATAATTTATAAATATTAATTTGAAATATAACACGTTTTATACTAATATCATTGTTGATTGTTTTAAGGATATATTATGTACTTTCATTGAAACTTATTAATAATATTGTATTATACACTTATGTCTATCTTATTACAGCTTGTAAAATAAATTAATATATAATTAAAATATAATTGTTAATTGAAGTTGATAGACGCAGTTTTACTAAGCATTGTTTTTTTCGTATGTAATAAATAATAATTAAATATTTTCCTTATTTTATAGATTTGCATCGATAATGCTCGTGATATGCTTTATATTGATCTTGTAAATTCTATTGCATGTGATGAGGTAATATAAATACGATTTTTCTAATTTTATAGGCTATTTAAGTATTTATTTTTATACTTTTTTTTTTATAGCTGATATTATGATTGTTTGTTGGATGGTAATATAAAAAGTATATTTGCCCATGGTTCATGTAGATTGAAAGAAAATATTTTCTGGATCGCTAATTAAGTAAATAGGTGGTAATCAAAATTTGAACTGTGGTTATTTTTAATGAATAAATTTATTATATTTTAACAATTTGAAATTTAAAATAAATAACTAAACAAAAGTTTCATTTGAATTGTTATTAAAGATAAATATAAATAGTAGCTACTTATTTAACTTTTAGTTTAACAGTGATCATTGATTTAAAATATTCATAATTTTCCAATGTGTATCTTTATTTGTTTAAGATAGTTTTCAGTAAAACCAAGTATGTTAAAAGTTAATTTAAAATACAATTTCATTGTTTATACTTGTACAATAGGAAATCGTACTAAATATTATCTATAAAATATGTTACCAGAATAAAATTATTGAATATTTATTGTTGAAAAAAAAATATCGTTTTATATATTTATAATTGGGTTCTTCTCTAAGTATATTATTATTATTATTTAAGTAACTGTTCTATCTTATTCAATTGAAGTTGGTTGTACGTTTCATACGTTTTCAAGGTAAGTATATTATACCTGCTTGTATTGAATAAAAATTACAGTCGTATACGCTCTAAGTAGTTGGAATGTTAAAACAATGAGTACTATATATTAAATACAACATATTTTTAATAATCTAAATAGAATATATTTTAGTCCTCTTAATTTGACTTTTAGGGATTTTACAAAATGTCACATTTTTTGGTATTATGATCATAATAGACAAATAGATACAGTTTCTAATTACCTTAATAATAACCCTGAAAGTTGTATAAAATAATAAATAATTTACTTGCAAAGTTCTAACCATTACTAAATAATGTTAAATGTAAAAAAGTTTTTTATTTACAATACAAAAAAAAAAAAAAAAAAAATGCTACAATACAAATTGTTTATAATTTATAAAGTCATTATCAACATAATGTACAATATTTGAATAAAAAAAAAAATCGTAATTAAAACTCGTGTTCAATAATAAATTTCTCATTACCAGTGTTTAGTACAATTATTATTATTATAGTAAGAAGAAGATTTTTGTGGAACCTTGAATACAACTACCTTGTATGCAACTAAACGTATAGGTATTTATTAAAATGTAATATATTTAATGATAAATTTTGTGCAGTATTTTTATTTAAACATAATATTTTATAAATCATAGTGCTATATTTTTATAAAAAATACAATTAATGTTTTTATTAAAATATAAAATTTTGAGATTTGTGAGTATATTTGATATCAATTTTTTCTTTTTTAGTTGTCTAGTTTATCGAGGTCAAATTAGATTGCAGAGATGGAAAAATGCTTGATTAATGATTAATGATTTGAATTCATATACATCTCACTTTGTTATAATTATTTTTTCGTCAATTTTTTTTTTTTTTTTTTGGGCAGTGTTTGAGACACAGAATTTTATTTAAATTTTATTTCGACCTTTCTGTAATTATTGTGGGGTTGAAATAATGAAAAAAATTCAAAACTAACTTTTATATTTTTTATATATCAGCTATTAAATACTATAATACTATATGATAAGATGCAGTTGCTTTATGTCCAAAAAGCTTTTTATGTTCATATTTATTTTATCTGTAATTTTTACTTTATTTTAATGATAAATTGTTACACGACATTAAAAAAAAAAAAAAACGATTTTTGGTAAAGCCGAAATATTTATATCAGATTTATTTTTCTCATTCTCTATTTATTTTATTTTTGGATAATTGTTAAAATATGAATTCAAAAAAAAATTTTATTCTAAATAATACAGTTAAAAAAAGTTCTAACTTTGAAATAAACTCACTAATTTTATTATTACTAACTTTTGACTGCGTATAACCATTTATAAATTACATTTTTTAAGTTAATTTATTTAAGAACCAATATTTCTGATTTTTTGTAGGAAGATTTATACGTACGAGTATAGTATGCGTATTTTATTGGGTTTTACTGGAAAAAAAAAGAAACCGAAAATAAAATCTATACATTTTAATCCAACGATGTGCTTGGGTAAAATTTTATGTTACTGTTAATAATGTTAATATGTAGTATAATTAAAATATATGTGTGCATAATGGATAGTATACGTTCAAATAAAAAGTGTGTATAAAATATTTTAAATGTTTAAATTTTTAGCAAGTAGATTAACAGTGATCAAATGGGCTATCGTTGGTTAAAATGTTTATTTATATCAAAATTTAGTTAGTTGATGATATTTCATTAGATTCATAGTAACATGTTTTTCTTTAATTAAAAAAATAAATTACATCAGAAATATCAATTTTTGGCTTGGTAATATTTATTGACCAAGAAAAAAAACATGGCTTTTATTCTAGACAATTCGTTAAGTAATAACTATTATTCTTAATTTGTTTTAGAATTAACATCTCATTATTAATCATTAATAAGTGATCTATACAAACATTATAAACCATATATCAAAGTTTACTGTAAAACAACACAATTTAATAATGAATTAACATACATTTTACTGCAATACACATATTAAATGTACAAAATAATATATAATATTATATAATACAGAGTGAACATAGACAAACTGGAAAACACTGTGGGCCACATTGTGTGTGTGTGTGTGTGTATGTGTGTGTGGGTGTGTGTGTGTGTGTGTGTGTGTGTGTGTGTGTGTGTATACGAATACTATTTTGATGTATAAAACCCATTTTAATTGTTTCCTAATAATATATAATACCTATATAATAATATATAGGTACTTATATAAACAAAATTGTTCGAAAAGCACTTGCAACATCTGTGAATGAAAATATTTTTTTAATCATTCAATTAAATTACTTATTTTATTTTTTAAAACGCTTTTTAATTACGTTGTTGATTTATAGCTCATACACAACAAAAGTCGTAGTTATTGAAATAATTATCACGGTACTTGAACTCCGTTAGTACCCTTATACCTAGAATTATTGTTTATAACGGATAAATGATAACGTGATGATGGACGATTCCTGGACATTTAAGTATATCGTAATCTGATAATGACAATATCATATTATCTAATATCGTTTCTGTTTTGTAATACGTACGTTGTAATATGAATTGTTCGAGCAGTTTATTATTATTATTATTATCGTCATCATCATCATAATCGGTATTATCAATGCAGTTGTTGTTTCACCCACGCGTCGATTGTGAGTAAGTGGTACGCGCGTTATAATAATATACGTTTGATATGACGGTCACAAAGGAGTGATAATATTAAAAAATAAATAAATAAATAAATACAAAGAGTAATAATAACATTAAACAAAATAATATTATCGTCAATAGATTTTCGGTGGCATTCGATTTCACTGTGCCTCGTTTTTGTATCAGCTGCCAGAATCGGCTGGCGTAGAAAGCAGTCTTGTCTGGATACTGACAGGCGAGATGTTCAGCTTGCAACTGGACCGCCGCCGTTCGGTCGCCATCATGGGAACCGTCAACAAGTCACTTCCGCCGTCCCTGTCCGTCACCATGGTCGGGACGCTGTACATAAACACGGAAATATTTTTTTTGTTACCCGTCATTTACATATTATTATAACAGCGCGCGTAGGACAAAGATTCGACGTTGTTATAATAATATTATTATTATTATTATTATTATTGTAAAACCGTCGGAATTGTGGACTATCGGCTCGGAATAATCCCTCGAATCGGCATAGTTGAGCTATTTATTTTTATTAACGGCTACAATTCGGTCTATAGATATTATCTACCACTATGTAAAATTTTATTTTGATTTTCATAATGAATTATTTAGTTTTATATGAGCATAATATGACAGACTGTATAATATTATTTTTATAAAAATAAGACTTTAAAAAGAAATATCTGTCAGCATTTTAAAAAGTTATGTCAATCGCGCGGTTAATACAATAAATAGTGTATATAATGTATGTCATACTGTTCATGGTTAAGATTAAAAAAATCACAATGTAATTATAAAGAAACAATTTCTTTTTTTTTTTTTAATTGTATTTTATCTTTCTGATGACAATGACATTAGCTAATACACTCGGTATATAACACATAATAAAACGCGACCAAAAAATTACGTGATTAAACTAGTTGCTATTTTTATTGAACCGTTCAATATTCAACGTAAATTTAGGTTTAGTTTTTACCGAATGTAAGGCTATATTTACTATAAATTGTTGAAGTATTTTTGACAACATTACTACCGTAAAGCCGTTTTTTGTCGGAAAATAACACTAAAAATATTTTCGAATATATTATGTTTTGACTCAAGAAAAGAAAACTAAGTTATAATTTTTTTTTTGTCAGAAAAACTAAAACTGATTTGTGTGACAACCCCACGATGAATAATTTAAAATAAAAGTATATAAAACGTAATTAAGTTTTATTTTTATTCGTTGTATTTAGTTATGAGACACAACGTATTCACACATATTACACACACATATATATATAATGTATATAATGTGTTTAATTATCAGCTCGGATTGTCCTGTTGCCTTTTTCTTTTAGTGTTTTAATTACGATTTGTTTGTGAAACATACCGAGAATAATTAAAATATTATTGTTATAAAAAAATCTCACATTTTACATGTGGAAAATACTATACAAAGATGTATTGTTTTTAATTAAATTTATCAAAACTAATATTAGCTATTAATAATTCATTCAAAGATGTATAAAAATAATTCATTTTTTTTTTTTTTTGCTTGTTACTTTTTTTAAGTGCCATAGTACATTGGAATTATGCCTAATAATTAAGATAATTACAGATACATTGTGAAGGTTTTTAAAAATGTTTAATTTTATTCAGTTATTTTTATTTGTATGGGTACCTTATGAAAAAAAATATGAAGTATGAAAAATTAATTGAATAGACTTTGTATTGTGTGAGTATAACTGATATTATGAAATTTATTTAACTTTAATTCCAATCGTAAGTAAAAAAAAAAAAAAAAAATGCATTCAAATTATTTATATTACTTATCTAAAAATTGTAGTTCAACATTTTGATTGGTGCTGTTTATTAACTAGTTATTTATTTAAGAATTCAATTATTTATTTAATACGTTCTTGTTGTAAGTATACATCTACTTGAAAATTATTAATAATAACATAGGTATGGAAAATTATAAACAACACTGCTTGGTGTTTTCTTTTCGCACAACACCTATATATATTTGAATAAGTTGAATATGTTGTAAAAATATAGGATCAATAACAAAACCAAATTACTAAACTTTTCTTATAAATGTTTACGATAGTTTACAAATTTAGCTAGAAGTCATTATTTAGAAATAAAATGAAAAATTCAATATTATCAAAACAAAATAAAAATTTTATCTACTTAAAAACATTTTTAGTTATTTAATGTGTATAAAATAACATATAATAGTACCAAGCAATAAATGTATTTAATATTTATTTCAAAGAAGTAGTCAAGTTTTTGATTTTATTACTGAAATATGTTGGTTTAATTTGTATTATAGGTACAGAAAAAAAATGCAATTTTGTCGATTAAAACATCATCTGTCTTAAATCGACAAATACCAATTTTAGTAAGTTTTGTAAAACATTATTTATCACATATGAAAATAATTTATTAAGTGTGTGGTCTTGAATATAAGTATATCATACAGTTTAATATGCATAATATGTATCAATATACTTATAATGTTTTAAAATTATATTTAACGTATTTTCATGATAAACGTCTAGTTTAAAAATAGTTTATACTTATATAAACTACTACGGAGACACAATATATTACACCGTACAACGATAAACTAGGAAAACAGAAATAAGGATTTCTGTACATGTTTTATCTAGGTTTTGAAATTTATATCATGGTAGATATTTAAAATAGCGTAAAAATAGTATATAATAATATATCTTATATCGTACTATAATTAAATTGATAGAATGAAAAAAAATGAATAAGGATGGTACACATCAATATCTGATTATGTTTTGAAATTTAAATTATCGTATTGAAAATAATGTATAGTAAATTTATGTTTATATATACGTTTATGTATATAATGTATTTATTAAATAAATAATATTTTTAAGAAGTTTTTCAGAATATTTTTCTGGTAATTTTAATAAATGTCAGCTGTCTATCTTTAATTTTTGTAGTATATTAATAGCATTTCTGATAAATAAAAAGAATTTTCAGTAACAAAAAAAAAAAAAAAAAACAAGAAGTTGCTGCAACAATTAAAATAACTTTGTGATAACTTTTGTTCTGAATTTTAAAAAAATGGTATTGTAGATATACAGTTAATACCGAAATGTAATATAGAAAATATAGAAGTGGCAAGTATTTTGATAAATACTAAAGATCAATGTACATACAAATATTATAGTTTACAAGTTTTCATATTATATAAAAATAAAATTATTATATTAAATACCCTAATAAAAAAGTGAGGCATACTAAGTCACATTACGAATAGTATAGGAAAAATATTGTTTAAAATGCAGCAGGTTTCATTAGGAATTAAAACTGTGGTCATCAATGTAATTTATCACTTAAAGATGCAGTCTTATGATAGACATTTTAACAGCGCAAACAATCACTAGTAGAAAATAGTAATGTTTGGTACAATAAAGAGATTAATATTGTAATGCCCCCTCAACGTGGACGTTACAATAACGATAATTAAACAAACTACCTAAAATATAATCGACATTGAAACACAATTACGTTGTATAGGCGTATACCTACAACACTACCGGATTTTACGAGTGCGATTTACGATGCAATTAAAATAACCAATTAATTAGCCTTTGTATAGGTATCGAATCCCGTTCCGGGTTATCGAATAAATACCGTTTGAAGATACGTTTAAAAATGTCTTAAACAATCCTAATATTCACTTAATTTTATTTTTGGTCCAATACAATGAGCTGTAACTTTTATTTTTTGTATTTCGCACTTTTATGTTTTATTCACTTCTCGTGTTTCTTATTAATCTAAATTTATTACTTATAGTGTTCGAAATTACATTGCTGGTATCGTCGAAGCATTCATGGCTTTAATGAGTTCCTGCTCCCAGTCGTGTTCTTTACGTTCCATTTCTCGTCTTTCTAGTTCTTTCTCACGATTATAGCATTTGAAATTTTGAAGTTGTCTATTAACTTCTGTGTCCTGAATAAACTATGAACAATTAATTACTAAGTTTTTCACGAGAATAAACATCCTTACTTCATTTGTCATGGAAGTTCTGAGCGACCTTTGCTTTGCTAAACGTCTAGGCTTTTGATGTAATGGGTTGGGTTCAACGATCATCTCTTCCAATTCAAACGTCGGATCGCAGTTCAGCCGATCTTTCTAAATATATAGCAAGTAACCACGACTAATTAAACATTAAATACGAATATAGTATAAGGTAGGCTTGTATAATTTATTTAAATTTACGTTATACAGTTTCAATGGGCTTATAAGTTTATTATTTTACTTAAAAAAAAAAAAATATCAAAATTATAAAACAAGAATAATTATTTACCTTAATTCCCCCCAAAAAATGTTCATATACTTTAACTCTTGTTTTATTACATTTTTTTTTTTTTTTTTTTAATTACTTCATTACAACTTTATTTTTTACCTTAATTTATATCTATTTAGTTATTTTTAATAGTATATATTTGCATTTTAAAACAAAATGTTATTTTAATGAAAAAGTCAGTTCAATTTAATCTCGAAATTGTATGTAATGACTGCTATTCATTTTTTATTATATAAAAGATAATTATATTCACTTAAAATGTGAATTTCTAAACAATTTGAAAAATTTATTTTAAAATCTATAGGAAAAGCAAGTGTTTCATAAATTATCTTTATTATTATTAGTATAATATATAATTTTGTATGACGTGTAATATGCTTTAAAGTTATTGCATAGACCCTAAAAAATATAACAGTACGTTCATTTAGGTGAGTAAACTTAATATTATTAATTTCTTGTTTCTATTTTGTGACAGTATTGTATTAAATCAAAACTTATAGGGGTGTGTCCATATTTTAAACAATGAACATACGCATAAAATATTTAAAAAACATTTAAACTTTATTTTTTTACATCATGTTGTGTGAAAATAATGCATACAGTAATATTTGATGTAAAATGATAATTTTTAAGCGTTTAGTTCCTTCATTTTAAAATATATGATCAAAAGTTCCAAAATTTGAGATATTCAATTCAATTAAATAGTTTTAACAGTATTATTGTGTATGCGTATCTATTATATTGTATGATATATATTTATATTGCTTTTTGTTGTTCAGTAGATAGTTATGGCGATAGCATTGTGCTGGGTTAATTTATACGGATTTTATTGAGATTGGTTAAAATTGAATTGTTAAAGTTCATACTATTTGTCTAAAATACATCGCATTGAAGCGTAGATAAATTTAAAAGTCAGATTTTTGGTTGTACTATCATATCACAATTGTATATTATTTCACGCTATTAAATAAGATACCAATAATTAAAACATGTTTTAATACTCTTAATTGTTTTGAAACTATTGGTTTTCATGCAAATAACAACTTCAAGTTCAAAAAATGAATATTGTATAGTTCTATATCCAAGTATTGTTATTGCGTAAAACTTACTGGTGGCGTAAACGGTGGCCTGATTTGTTTTTCTAATATCATTCCGAAATTGTATCGACTTATACATGGAATGGATTTCAGTTTCTTGACCGTGGTGATTCTCTTCTCTGGGTTAATGCACAACAGCTAAAATAATGATTTTAATAATACTAATAATAATTATTATTATAAAAGTAAAAAACACAACTTATAACCGTTATATTTTAATCACAGTTTGATGAAGAATTATGACCAAGAATCATTTTTATTCTTTCACTTTCAACATTTATCCATACATAGCTATAAAAAATGTACTATTATATTGTTATAGATGATTTATTTAAAAATATTTATTCATCTTACTGTTGATTAATTTTTCAAATATGATTTTGATAAAATAAGTTCTTTGATTTTTATTTTTATTTTGTGTTGTATGAATATATTATTATGAATTTATTTTTAAAGGTGAAAACTGTATAGAATTTTTGTTGAATCTTTAATTAAATTTATGTACCTATTAACAATAAATTAAAAAATATATATTTAACTAAATTATAATACATAATATAACATTTTTATTTATGTTTAGTTTTATTTATATTTATACTATGTTACAAAAAGTATTGTCTTAGAATGTTCATATTTTGAAAAAAATTAACAAGCTTTCTTATACTATGTTCTCTGAAATGTATTTTAATAATGATCTGAATTTTTTTAAAGAGAAAACAATAATATAATGACAAGTTAAAAGAAAAACTAAAACAAAGTAATTTGCACTTTCTTTGATTAACTTTAACACCAGCAATCAAAGACTTTTGGTTATTTATGATAATTTATTAATCTTATAATGATATACTATATTTAAGTTCTTCTTGATAGTACGTTGAACATAATTTCGTAATCTCCTCAACCAAAAAAAAATAACCAATTAAAAATTATCCATGATATAATATAGTGAACCATAAGACTATAATATATACTGTACACTTATAGATATTTAGGTACCTGCATTTTCCAACACTATCAACAGTTTTACGAACCTAAAACTATCTTAGACCACTAATCTCTAAGTTTACTAGTTACTTCAAATAACATCTTTGGAAAATCTTTCCGTTAAAATTGAAAAAAATAAACTTTAGTAAATTTTAACGAAGTTCTTTTCATAAACATCATAAACATATTCAATACAATATAATAACAGTGTAAAATAAATGTTAAAACTTAAAACTAAGATGTCGAAAAAATCCAGTTTCCTATAATAAATACGTACCTATATCACAAGTATAACCAAAAAAATATTTTATACTAATTATAGCTTTATTTTATATTTATATTGTATAAACTTACAAAGATCCATAATATATTTAAAAGTTAATTTAAATCAATATAAAGTTAGCTATTATTTAAATTGCTGAAGCAACTACGACTATCTATTTTATAACTATAAATACGATTTTCAAGAATAAAAAATGTTAATATTATATTATATTATTTTACTAATATATGGATTATTATGTAGATAAAGTAAACATTATGTTACAATTAAATCATTTCGTAAAAAAATTAAAATATTTTTATTTTTCACTTTTTTTTTTTACTTCAAATATTAGTTTTACAAAAACAATATAAATATTATTTTATTAATTGTTTTGATGAGTGTTTTATATCCACAGAATCTTTATAGTTATATTTTGTTCTTTACAAAAGTAGTCGTAAAACAATTGAAACTATTATATCACTATGTTTCAGACATTGTCAAGCCTTTGGCGCCTAGGGACAAACATTTACAAACATTCTTTTCCTCAACATCTATTTGATTAGTTTATAATGGGTAAACATTGTAAATCAGAAAAAATAGCGATTCTATTATAAGTGTATAGTGTATACTGTAAAAAAATATTTACCAAATAATATAATTATCTGCATGAACTATTTTCTTTATTTTCTTTGACTGTGTAAAATTTTTTCTATTTCCAGTATTCGGTAATAAGTTGATTGATTAAAATATTTTAGTACCATACTTCACAAAAGTCAATAAACGTACAAACAATTGAATAGGTATTGATTGTTAAAATCGTATTCATGATTTATTATAACTATAATTGTATTTAGGTACCTACAGTGTTTTTGAGAACTTTTTTTGAAGCATATAATCATAGTAAGAATAATTTAGAACCATGTAGTTTCACTCCTAATGTAGTTCATAGAGTTTTTATTGCAGCTATAAGTTAAAGTTATATTGTACAAATTTAAAATTTAATAATTTATCAATTAAAATAATAATTATTAATTAATATAATATATTATGCATTCTATAATATTTTATCAAGTTCAAGTACCCCGGTCATATCTTTTGACACGCCCTAGTTTCAGTTCTTTATTATGATGAATTGTTCTATTACCTTTATTATTCACACATGTTGAACAATGACAAGTTTTAAAAGTTAAAACTTATTTTATAGTTTAAAAATATAGATGCTTATAATACATCAATATTAAATTTGATGAATAGGCAATATTGGTGTCGATAGATGGTCCCTAAATGACTCTGTTATAGTAGAATTTAATACATTAATTAATATCAGTACATGCTAAAAAATGTGCAATAAATTTTTTATTGTTCCTTACTCTTTGAAATAATTCACTCAATTGATCTGAACATTTTGGTGGTATTGCCGTTGACGCTGATGAATTCATCAACATTGATCTAACTTCTCTCGGTGTTGTGCTAGAATGAATGTCGTACGGTCGGCACCTTGACATGACTTCGTAAAGTGTAACGCCTAGCGACCACCAATCAACGGGGTAAGAGTATCCAGCGCATTCGCCCAAAGAACATAAGTAAACTTCTGGTGCTGTTTTTAAGAAATAATGAAATTAGTAGAATGATATTAATTATAATTGTTATAATTCCATAATATTATTACATAATTAGGCGTTTGAAAAAAATTAATAAAAACCTTTCAAGTAAAAATTTGTTTCAGATCTTTTTAATATAAATATTATAGTATATATGTAATTTTTACTCTTATATATATATTTGTTATATTTATTATCTGATTTGTTATCCGAGTTAATTGAACATAATATTTTAAAAATTATCTATGGACTAAAAAAAAAAAACTTATTGACGAAATACTATTAATCTAGTTTTTAAAGTTATAATAATAAATTTAGTATCTTAAATGTTTTCAATTTTCAATTCTAAAATTTGTAAAATGTGCTATTTTGATATGTAAAAATGTAATAAGTACAATAGCTAATAATTTTTTATGCATAATATAATAGCATTGAACAACACTTGAATAATAATCTAAAATTGAATTATAATCGAAATTATAATGTTGTATGTGTGTTGTTGCAAGTAAAAAATAAAAGAATTTCTGAACTATTGTTATAATATCAAAAGTAATTGATCAAGATAAAAATATAAAAATCGATATGAACTGTTTTTAATTCTCGAAAGAAAATATAAAATAACGGTAAAATAGTTCTTAAGACAATATATATACTATACAATATAAGACAATAATATCATTCGGATAAAGCACAGGAAATCTTTTAATTTGGACAACGCCCGAATTCAGAAATGTTTCGGTTCGGTGTCAGTAAAGCTTAGAAAATATACGGTCTATTACAATTAAATCCCTGATTGCTATTTTAGATCGGGATATTTTATACGAGAAATCTTGGCGTAAAAACGATGGCGATAAGTGTTTAGCTATAATACGAAATAATATTTTTTTTCCATTAGTAGCTTGTTTAAGGAAAATCTTCATTGACCGTATGAAAAACGAGAATGACAATGACTGTTCTAAAATCTAATAAATATTCTGTAATGAAGTTGTCGTTTATCCAGAGGTATAAAAAATAATAAATTTAACACAATCATTATGATATAATATTTTTTTTGTTAATCCGAATAAATTGTATGCTATTAATTTTTCGATGTCGCAGTTTAATTTTTTTTAGTTAAAATAACATTTATAATATTTGACAATTGTTATTTTGTTTCAATTATTTTATGATTTACCGAAGTTCTTTTTTTTCAGAAGTCAAAATTTAATTAACCGTTCATAGTATTACCGTATTCTCATTGTGAACAAAGTAAAATACATATTAGATAATCTAATATAAAGTTAAAAAAATAAATCCCTCAAAGCAGAATAAAAAGGTAATTTCAAATCTAAATAAAGTTGAAAATAATATATATGGTGTTCAAACCATTACAATTTTTCGTGTACAAAGAGATATAGTTGATATAATACATGTATAGAAATAGTGATTTATACATTTTTGTTAATGACTATATTCATATTCTTTTATTCGGTTCCTGTTTTTGATATTCCAGTAATCCCAGTGATAAAACTATTGTTGTATACTTAAGGGAACTTTTTAAGTTATATTTTTTTTCTTGTTCACTTACGTAGTACTCAGTGGTATTCATGTAATCCGTGATATTTGTATTAAAACTTTAATAAAAAATAAATGGTCTTACAAATAAAGAGCTACCATGTAAAGTCATTATTAAAGTTTACTATTGTTCATTTTATTTTAACTGGTATTCTATGTATCATAGAAAAGTACCGCGATAGAAACCGAATTTATTTTTTAACTTTGCTTTAAAAATAAGTATAAGAAAAGTTTTAGTAATTCAAGTTAGTTTTACTTGAATCAGGAAACTAAATTATTTAAGACAAATAAAATAAATACATGTCAGTTAATATTGTTTGTATAATAATTAAATTTGTAAATTATTTCAACGTTTTAAAATGTGTTAATCAAATTAATTTATCTAATCATGAAGTGTTTTTTTATTTTTTTAAACGATGATTTTTAAATTAAATTAATTTTTGTTTGGTATATATTTGTATAGATTTTTGTCAGTAGTTTTTTTTTTTTTTTTTTAAATACCTATCATACAATTTACCATGATATTTGTTTTATTCATTTATTATAAGTTATGACATTCAAATAAAAAAAAAATTAATACCTGTTGTTGAATGTATTACTAACCATTTTTAATTACTGAAATTATTTACATACAAAATATTATTTCGTATTATAAAATGGCACGCAAATAATTTCCTATTTACATATTATCATTATTTATGTTATGATTGTATGATACTATGATATACATGTATGTATGTATAATATATTTTTGAAAATTCACATGGCAACAATAGTAATGATGCTTACATTATAAGCAACAAAACGTTGTTTTATAAACTTTATACAAAAAAAGAAGATATGCACAACAATTTGTACATACCTATATATGGTTTGGTGCCAGACAGTGATGATGCTAATTTTTTACCATGTAGTGTAGCTGCTATATTAAAGTCGGTAATGTGTGCGTGACCTATAAAATAAAACACTAAGATATTAAATGATGAATTAGTTTATAATCATATTTATGATGAAAATATTTGTTATATGCTCTGTAGAGTTTGTAAAATGTCATTACATCCCAAACTAAAAATACTTGAAACATTTTATAAATGTCATTAAATTAATACATAGTTTAAAAATATTATTATACGTGTTATTATATTATTTTAAATATATTATATTTTATGAGCCTAAAAAAAATACATTATAGAAAACAACTATATTATTGGTATTCAATATAATATCAATTAATTAAATATTATTTTTCATACTTGAGATTAAATCTTAAGTGAGAAAGTTATTACTAATGATTGGTACTATAAAACTAAATGTTTCTTTTTTTTTTAAAAATAATTTATAGAATATTAACACCATTAAAACAAGTTTAACATAATAACTCAAAAGAAATGCTAATTTAAAAGTTTAAGATGTTATATTTAAGTATTTTGTAGTTTTACTTAGTAAATTTTCCCCATTAACCAACATTAAGTGTTAAAGGGAAATAAGCAATTACATTTTTTAAATGCTTTTATATAAAAATAAAAATAATATTGATTTTTGTTTAGAACATTTTTTTCAAATGTACCTAAGCAGCGTATACTTAGATGAGTTTTTAAATCACATCGATGATTAAAATTTTAATCAAGCGCAATATTTTATATAGATTTTTAACTATTTTATGAAATAATATTATGTAAAATAATATTCTAAAATTGTATGATATTATGTGATGTGTTGAATGTTCATGTCTTAAAGTTTATATTAGTTTTAATTTTTTAACCTTAAACACTTAACTATTATTATAGTTATAAGTAGGTAAACAAATCTTTCTGCTACAAACGAAATTAAAAACCAACAACCAGTATACAAATTACAAGCTTTTTAAAAATAAAACTAATTTCATTTTTTTTTCGGGCAGAGAAGAAAAATTACGAAATCTTTAATTTTGATCGGTTTAAATAATTATGATTAATAATATCTGGTGCGATTTTGTTTAAGTAAATGTTTTAAAATGTACGGTAATTTTTAATGCCCAAGTATTGTATTTTATAACGCAACAGCAGTTGAAGAATAACGTTTCACATTAATTGATAATGTTATTTCCAGTCTACCGCGGCGCTGGGTCATCACATTTATCGTGATAAAACTAGACCTTCTAGTAATATAGGTAATATATGATTTTATGGTGATTTTCAGTCATGTCTCACGTATGAACAACGTTTATCTGCGATCATCCTGCAAGTTGAATAACGTAATACATAAAAATAATTATATCAGCTATCCTTACCTTCTTCATCTAGCAAAATATTCTCTGGCTTTATGTCCCTGGAGAGCATGTAAAAGAGTATTGAATTAAAGTTATTGATTTCAATAATATTTTGTTCGTTCATTTTTTTCATTCAAATACTCGCAATATACTACTTAAATATTTTCAACTGAGTTTCAAAATCAATAAAAACTATTCTTTTAAAAATATTTTATTTAAATATTTTTAAAGATTTTGTGTGTTACGTCAAATGAAAATGTTTTCAAAAATTAAACAATTTGACTACCGTTTAGTGCGATAAGAATATAATCTAATGCTATGACAAAGGTAAATTACTTTTGAAGTTCGTCGTATGAGCTTAATAAAACCGAGTTGGATCACTATGTCTTTAACGAAATACGTTTTAAGTTTTCAATAGTAAACATTTTCGCATATCTAATATCGTACATATATTATAGTTGTTTGTTACCGCGCGTTATACACGAGTAAGCTTAGCATACTATATCGTACGTGAAAAATGTTTACTGAACATATATGTAAAAAAATGATGGAATGCGCGCGCGTGTAGCGACGCATTTACTCATATGGTATTTGAACTGAAGTTAATGGTCAAGGAACTCAAAATAACAATATAATCTGTGTGCTTAGGGCAGCTTGTGAACGTACTAGAAATAAAAGGAAGATGATAAACAGTTGTAAATATAATAACAAAAAAAAAAAATCCTGTTTGCCACATTTCTTGTACAAATAAACACAACGATTTTATTCTCCTCTTACATGTTGTCTTTAAATTTAAATATTTAAAACATCGTTTAATATTATTAATTTTCAATAAAAAATTTTTTTTTAACAACTTAATATTTCAAAAGTTAATATTTATATTTGTATAAATAATAAGTATTGAATATTTATTTATAATCATTTAAAGTTTTAGTGGGCATAAAAGTATATTTTGAATTCCAGGAAATCTTTAAAATTATATATTTCTTTTATTAACTTGTAATTCTTATAAATAAGAAATTATGTAACAAATATTTAGATTTTGATAGCATAGAATTTTAAAGAAAGTCATAACTTCCAGGTTTAGTGAATAATCAAATTTTACTTAATTACATAAGTAAATATATGAGTGTCTAAAAATAAATATTATTTTCAAAAACACAATTATAATTAATTATTTCGATGAATGGTTTATATCAACAGAATTATTATTGTGTGCTGCATAAAACAACTGATATGATAATTTAACTGTAATTTCGATGTTTTTTATGATTTTTTATTCGTACTGGAATAGTTTGAAAAAAGAGTTTCATGTAATTAGCTGATATTAAAATCCATCATCAATGATAAATTGACCGTATTATCTTAGGCCCGAGAAATAATCATTTTTAAGCGACTCTCTCCTAGTCGAATTATATTACTTGCGGTAATCGGCGTACATTTTATTAATTTTTAATATTAAATAACAAAAGTTTTACAACGGAATTTATGCTATTTTTTTAAAATGCAGTATATATTTTTATATATTTTTAATTTTATTCAAAAATTGTTTAACACAAAAATGCTTTGTGTATCCAAAAATATTCTACCTATTTACCCATATTACAAAATTAATTAATATAAAGTCCGAACAAACAGTATACAAATATGGTTCGCACATACATTTAGTGTACATATTGTACATAATATATGCTTTTGCCATCGAAACCGTGGTAAACATTGAATTGTTGTCATGTGTACTCACCTGTGAACTATATGCTCGCTTTGTAGATATTCTAACGCAGAGCCAATTTCGCATGCAAACAGTTTTATTGAATTTTCACTGAACTTAACGTCTTGACCCAAGTGGTACCTCAAGTCACCTCCCAATAATAAGTCCGAAACCATGAATAGGTCTTCTTCGTCTGAAATACAATGGTTATTTATGTTTAATGTAGTTTTTGATTTGTTTTTATCTCTCTTCATATACACATAATATTATTGATAAAGAAAGAAAATACTGCCAGTAATAATAAGATTAGAACTAATATAACAAAATAAATAAGTTATTTAATAATATAATCAATTTTCTGAAGCATAATTATTGAATATCAGATTTTAAGTAATATGTATTTTATTGTAATTTGTAAAATACATTTATTATTATTTTATGTCTGAGATCTTATATCATGTAATAATATTTAATTTTTAAATAAAAGAAACTCATACATAAAATATAATATCTATGTAAATAGATAACGAAATGTTTGATTCATACGTTAATATCAGAATATACTTGATTTTGTATTATTTGACTTAATAATATCTTTATGTTAATTCATACCTTGAAAAGAAAACCATAAATTCACCAGGAACGGATGTTCAAGCTTAGTTAATATTTCCATTTCCCTTAGAACATTTTTTAAGGCATCTCTTTCAATGCAACGACTCTTCTGCATATACTTCATTGCATACATTTGACGTGAATTTTTTTTTTCTACTATGCATACCTAAAGAAAACAATCATATACCTAATATAATATTTTATTTAACTATATAGAAATATTAAATAATATAAAATATATACAAATTACACGGGAAAATAATATTATTTAATAGTTTCTTAGAAATATATGAAAAAGTCTTGATTTATTTAAAAATCCAGTCTACTTTGTAGAATTAAGTCAAGAATAAAATCCTGATAAATGAATTTATCAGTTAAATACATAATATATATATCTATATATATATAAATTATAATTTAATTTTAGTCTACAACAGTGGTTCTCAACCTTTTTATGCTCACGGTGCTTTTATCATAACTGTAGAGTTTGACGGAACAATATATTAAAGAAATAATAAGAAACAAACAAAAAAAGTATTTTCATTTTTATCATTATTTTTATTATTAATATATTATGTAATTAAAAATTAATATCTAATAACACTATAGGCATGTCTCATATTCCACTGCGGGGTTACGATATATCTACAGCTAATTCGTGGCACACTTGTGTGCCGTGGAACACCAGTTGAAAAACACTGGTCTACGAAATTACATCGCACTTACTTATAAACCTCTAAATCAATAAATTGTTTAAAATCTAGACAAGCTATAATATTAAATTCTAATATTTGTGACAATAAAATATATTTCCTATCTATAATGTTTACAGAAAATGACTTAAATCTACCATACACCACCTTTCAAGTCCAGAGGAAACATTTATTTATTATACTGTCCATTGAAAAATGGCAATTATTATTCTCTTAATACCTACTATAATAGTTTAACGCCTATTGAAGTATATAACAGTGAAAATAATAATTATTGTTATTTTTTTGGTAATACACATTCTTAACTAACATCCTAAATGCTCATAAATTATTTAATTAATTTATAAAAAATATTGTATATTTTAAATGTACGAGTATTGTAGTAATTGAATATTTATACATCATAACTAGTTTATATTTTCTATCACATGGCAAAAAAAGTAGTTAAAGTTAGTTGGTAAATTGTTCAGATAAATATAAGAAACTTTAATTTTTCAAATAATATTTTTAGGAACAAACTTTTTGAAGTTAAACTCTTAGAAATAATTATATAGTATATGTATTTTTTTCTTCATTAACTTAATTATACAATATCAATACACAGTTAAAAAATTAACTTGGGCTTTTAGATAACTCTTTAATAATTTATGTACCTATACTACTGTAAAGAAAAATTAAATAGTTGAAGAGCAATAATCATTTAAAGTGGTAGATACATTTTTGATAACACTTTCTATAACTGTTTTTAATTAAATATACAGATTGAAATTACAAAAAAAAAAATATTGTTTTGGAAAAAAATTAACAGTACAATTAGTATGACTTTAAACGGTGTGCACATATATTTTAGTGCATTATTTGAGACGTATGTAAATAACACTGTCAGTTACAAAAAAAAATTAGGTTAAGCTATTCAATAATGTTTAATCGAGCACTATATTTAAGTTTAATCTATACTTTTTGTAATGTTTACTCACGAATATAAGAGGATAGTATAATTTGAGAACTGTTTTATACTTACGAGATTAGATTCACTTTAAGATATTATTGTACATACATAAAAATATATAACTATATATAAGGTCCAATAAGTTAACATACCGAGAAGTAAATGAAAGCATGATATATATATATATAATATATATATAACCAATAGATATAAGAAAAACAGTTATTCTCGAAACTGTAGTAACGTTACGATTATCTTGAAAATATTTCCTTCTGATATATAACTTAGATAATATGCTGTAATATTCATATCTCACAAAGGATAAATATTTTTATAGTTCTGTACAGGTAAAAAATTTATGAGTTAGAGAGATTATGGTAAATTTATATTTTATTTTAAAATAATAAAATTATAGAAGCAGTAAGTAAGGTATTCTAATTTAAAATTAAATTTACAAATAATATATCTATAAGACGTTATTTAGCACATAAATATATTTTCGAGCTCAGTAAAATGCTAAAAGTTATATGGGATGTTAATTTTAAATAAAAATACAATTTTAATTATTTTTATACAAAATATTAAGTAGATAGAATTATGTTCATTAATTTGAATTAAAAAAAAATAAATATAATAAATAACATGCACAATATAAATTTATATTTGTTAAATTTAATCCTTTTCATATTTTCACGTAATTTAAGTAACTTTGTCAACCAATTTTGTGGCTATCCTTTGGGCCATGTGATATAATATGATTGCTATAAATGGTATTATGTACTATGTATACTTATTTTTACCTACCAAAAAGATAGTAAATGTTAAATCGTAAACATTTATATACTGTCTAAATTAACTAAACGTTTAACTAGAGTAAAAAACTAAATTATTTAACTTATAGTTAAAAATCATTAATTTAATTATGTACATTGTTTAAGTGTAGAACCTTCATTAAAGTAAAATAAATTTTAAAGTTTAACGAAATCGTTATAGTAACGACGCAGGAATTAAACTACGCTAGTTATTAATTTTAAGAAATTTTCATTGATTAAGTAAACAATAATTGTAAGTAGATATATACACTGTTTTATTTTTATATTTTTATAGATTGCTATTTTATTAGATATACTGAATATTAGCATAATGTGTACATTTTTTATATTTTTTTATTCTCGAGCATGCCATTTTAGCTTTTATACGATTTAACGAGAGTCAATTAATTTTAAATGAATGGTTAATTAAAAATAACAGATTGCCAATTATTGTAACTAGACGTTTCATTCATCCTTGATGTATTACAGCACAAATAATAACCCTACATCGCTTATCCAAATTTATTAAATTTTAAAACAAAAAACATAATGCTTAACTTATAACAAATATGGGATTTAAAATTGTATACTTCAATCGTGATAACTAAATAATAAAAGTTTTTTTTTTTTGTTTATGAAAGTAAAAAGAGATATTTTTATAAAAAAAATAATACAATTCTTAATTAATTTCAAATAAATACTCGTTTTTAACTTTAAAATAAATATTTTGGTGCATTTATAAGTATATTTTTAATGTTGTTTTACATTAATAATTATTGTAGGTTATGTTTTCATATTGACCATAATTTATTTATTTAAACTAAACCGCTTGTATTATTTTTAACGGCATGATATATATTAAAATTAAAACAAATAACATTTTTTAGTAAAATAAAAAAACTTTAATATGTATAAATCAAAAATATTTAATTGAAGAACTCATTGACAAACGCATTTGAACTTTTTAGATTAAATATTTATGTATTGAACAATTCAACACTTGTTTAAAAAAATACATGAACTTATTTTTCGTTTAAAAAGACTATTACCTACCGAGTATTACCTATATTTAATGCTAAAAATTAATTCACGAAACTAATAGTGTTCTAGTTAACTTGATTTGCGTATTAATTTATTTGTCATAGTATATTTTTATTAAAATTAATTAAAATATATTACGGAAATTCATATTTTATTAGTGATTACAATATTAAATTTTTACCTTATCTCAGGTATATTGACTCTTGGGCAATGGAAAATTGGAAGAAAATTGATAATATTTTTTTAAATAATAAAGTAGATGAAATAAATTCTAGATGTTATTGCGGTATCTATACATATATAATACAGATCGATGTTTAGGTTACTTTGTCATACAATAAAAAGCCGATTATTATGATAATTAATTTTAAGGATGGTCCGAAAATATCTGAATAATTGAAATATAAAACATTGAAATATTATTTTTAAAAGGTCTTTTGATAATAATAACTCGTATTGTATAGAACAACTATAAACCAGACTAAAATATATTTTTAAAATCTTAGTTCGCTTTGAACTTTTTTTAAATCATATACATAGGTACATGATAAATAATAAATACTAATGTAAAAAAAAAAAAAAAATATAATAATTTAATATTTTACAATTCAATTATTCAGATATTTACAGAACATCATTGATATTGATTAGCTGGATAATTGGCGTTCTACTGTAGAATAAAGTAACCTATACAGCAACGTGTATTTTATACGTATAGATACTGTTATAAAATCTAGAATTTATTTCATCTATTATTAGTATATGTTTTACATTAATTCAAAAAAAAATATTTGTATTGATATTCGCTTCGAACTGTCTTGCACCCAATTGTCATTGCGCCTAAAATTCCCGCACCCAAATGTTCGCGCTCAAGTATCGTACATTCTTTATCTTCAAGTTTATAAATTTATAAATTAATTTTTTCTGCAGAGTTTAAAGCTATAGCATTCTTTTATTTTTATTTTTATTAATAATAGCTAAACAACAACAAAATATTTTTACTTCAAAGACATAACTTTAATTTTTAAAATTGTTTTTAATTGTTTCATAAAGATACACTTATTTGTAGAATTTATTTAATTTTTTTAAAACTCAAACATCATGGTTTCGAATATTTACGTTATTATTTAATTATGTAAAAACCATATAAACAAAACAATATCTACTTAATATGTTCTATACATATAAGCAAACTCGTGGTGTTATTATTATTATTTTTTTTTTTTTTTATTTGAAATTAATGCTCAGGTTAGTTATTTAAATATTTGTAAGGTATTATTAGAGCTAATTTCCAATAAGTATACAGAAGTCACATAGGTATCTTCTATAATCGCCAATGCTGTACTATGCATGTGTTTAGTAGTGTAATTTCAAGTTTTATTACATGCATACGATGTGACGCAGCCATGGTGTTTTGGGTATTGAATCTCTTTGGTCATATGCATACAAAAAATATGTTTCAAATTTCTACAAAATATATTGTCATGTATTCCCTCTTGTTCTATTTAATATTTAATATAATTAAATATTAAATATTATGTAGAGTGCGTAAAATTACAGGTTATATTTAAATAAATAATAAAAACATTCTCTTCATCTTGAAAACAATATTTAGCTATACCCCAACGCGCACGCATTAAAAGAGAGTTGAAAAAATATGTTGTGCACGGAACACAAAAACAATTCTAAAATACAATTCTTTTAAAACTATGTATCTCTATGTTTAAGGTAAAATATAAAATTTGCTTAACGATGTTTATTTTTCAGTTGAGCTCACTACAATACAAATATTTTGAATTGCTACAACATAGACTTTTTCTGGCTTTTCAGAATTAGGTGGATATTTTTTTATTTAAATTAACGTGATTTAATGCAGATAATATTATAATTTAACATTATTCATAATATGAAATCAATATATAATATGTATTAAGTCATTACTTTTTTATTCTATTTTAAATTTCACAATATATAAAATCAATTTAATATTATACATAACTCGCAAGGTATGTTAGTACTTACTTTACCAAAACTGCCTTTACCAATTGCTCGTAAAATTTCAAAATGATCAAAGTTTACTGAAATCAAAAAAAAAAAAAAAAAACACTTAAAATATCTTTTAATATAAAAAAGTTATATTAAAAGAATTCATAACATAATAATTAATAAATGTTAATACATATACATAAACATCTTTTTTAAGTATTTTTAATTTTAAATATAAACAAAACTATTATAAAATATTAAGATATACGAACAAAATATGTTTAATATTTTTGCAAAATAAAACTAAACAAGTGTTTAGAGAGTAATAATGATCTAATTCAAAAAATGTATGAGAATTTAATTTAATTACGTAAAACAAATTTTATATAAAATGTTAAAACAATTAACTGAGATTCTATATGATTTACTTGGGTTGTCTATAATGTATATGTGTATAATAACGTGAAGTAAGCATATACTTGTATCAGTGATAAGATCAAAGATATCAATACTTTTTTTTTTTTTATTTAAAAATAATGAATTATTTTCTGTAGAAAATATCATTAATAGTATCGATTAATTTATACATTTATATTTAATATGTTAAATTACTGACGTTCATTTATTAATTATTTACATTGTAAATGTGTGTAGGCAAATCTCGTATATATTGTATTGTAAATACTGTGTGTGCAATATGATAATATGATAAATCATATACTAACTAAACCTAAAAAAAAAATGGTTAGATTTAGACATAAACATTTAGTAATATAATATGTAAGAATGTAACTTACATACATGCATATAATTTATAAAAATAATAATCAAAGTTTTCTTAAGAACATTAACATTTATTTAAAATGGTTAGACAATTAATTTAACCCACCACTTTAAATTAATTGTTTTTCGTGGAATCACTATTCAGTAATTAGTAATAAATAATTAATTAATAAGTTTGACCCGTGTTTTGAAATTATTTTGCGTTGAAAACATAATACAAATTAAGAGTCATACACATTTTCTCCTCGGGTGTAATACATTTCATATTTTTCAAAATAAATATCAGTGTTTCAGTTCTTAAATAAAGGTTAATATTTGAATATTTGATTTCTTTGTCATTACATATTGGTATGGCAATGGTAACTACTTTCATTTAGGAAATATATTTAAAAATTAAAATAAAATATAAAATATGAGTTAATAGTTCTATTATTTTTATTTCAACAGACTAATTTGTCAATAAATATGTTTTATTATACTAGCTATCTTGAAATAAATAACGTCAGAAGTAAGTATATGGTTATTAAAAATATTATTTATAATTTTTTTGTTATTAATTCATAAAGGTTTCTACGTTTAAAGCTTCTTAGTTGTGCATCATGTATAAGTTAAAAATACTTTTAAAAAAAAAATGTTATAAAATTTAAATACAGATATTTGAAAATAGTAATATATTCTGTTAATACTATGTGATATTATTCAAACAGTTGTATTTGTAAATAAAAACATAAATAGCAATCAAATATATTATTAAACAAATTTATGTTTCAGGTAAATATATTGTACTATATTTCTAACAGCGTTCAGAATTTCTACTCTGATAAATAAATTGAAATAAATTCATTAATAATAAAACTTTGTTATGTTATTATCTAACACATTAAAAAATATCATAATATTAATAATATATACAATTTACAACTAATTGTAAGCATGATTTAAATTTGATATTGTTACCTGTCAAAAATTTAAGAAAGAACTCCGGTATTTGGTTAAATAAAAAAAAAATAATAATTCACAGTATATTTTGAGATAATGAGAAATAAATTAAAGATTGAATAAAATGCAAGATTTTTACTTTATTTTTTTCCGAAGAACAACTAAAATCCTTCATAATATTACCAGGTCAATCTAATATGAATTATGATATAATATAAAATAACGTTTTGTATAAATATTCTTATAATTAATTCTGTACATTTACGTTTCGTACTTGGCAAACGCTTGACATTTTTGAATCTATTAAAAATATCATAAATGAATGCTTGTTTTTTATTGAAAATCTTTTTTCACATCTCGTGATAAAAAAAAAAAAAAAAAAAAAATTAATAAAAAAAATCTCACGTTTTCTTACACCTTAGTAGAATATTTATTTAAGGACACAATTTACAATAATAGGTTGGAAAAAAGGTTAACAGTTCATAGTGGAAGAGTTTTAAGAAAATCGATATTGTATCATATATTATTAATATTATAAAGTTATATTGTACAGAGAGTACAATACCTTCTAGTGAGTAACTCTATACCTCTAATACCTCTTTACTACTTTGAAAATCAATGTTCTATTAACTTTTGGACCAAAAGCGAAATTGCACTTAAGTTAATTTATCTAAGTCATGCGAATACGTTTGAGTTAAACTTTATTTATCTTTTTAAAATTATTCAATGATGTGTTTAATTACATAAGTCTTGGGAAGTTCAAGAAGGTGCGAATATTTGTAGATATAAGATTGTATTCAATAGTGGGTTAATAAATGCTAATTTATTCGTATTTTATATTGCTCTTCGTTATTTGCAAATACAATTTCAGTTATTTTCAAATATGAATATAAAAAAAAAACTTATTATAATATAGTTGTATTTATGTATATATTAAGGAAACATATGGATTTTCTGTGTATATACATTATTTGCTATTCAATTATATCATATTTGGCTAATATATATAGTATATACATAATAATTTATCCATTAATATTTATTTTACACTTATTTATTATAACCTTTATCAGAAATATATGGTAAAATGCAACGATAAGGGTTAAAATTATGTACATTTGTATTCATATATGAGTTAATACATACATAATAAATTTAGTTATAAATATAAATCATATAGAAACCATTTAAACATTAAAAAAAAAAAAAAAAATAAATTATTCAAATAACATTTAAAATTTACTAATCAAACTTAAATAACCAATAAACAAATTCAGTTTTTTTACAGTTATATTAGTTTTATTCGTAACCTATTTAAGTTATACTCATATTATAATATTATTATTCTTTGTGTTCATATAAATATGTATGGGTATTTTTTAAATTAATTCATTTCTGTAAAGTTCATCTAAAACTAAATAGTTACCTTTTCGTGATAAAATTTCTTATTTGTTTTTTAAATCTATTGCAATAAATCAATAGTTTTAGTCACTCTAAGAAGAAGAAAAACTACCGAAAAATAACAAAAACTGTTAGTGATATATTTTTATATTATAAGATGAAAACAAGTCTTATACAAACATTGATTGTTTTAAATATTGTTGTGTAATGTGTGTGACATTGCACATTTAAAACAAAAAGACAAGTATCAAGGAATTTACTGTTAAGTAAAATAATGTTCAATTATAAAATAATACTTAACAATATGAAATGTATCTTCATGATAAATACGATTCTAGGTCAATCAATCGACAGGATAATCAACCGACAGCCAAAATATCGACAAGATAATTAACCGACAGGGTCAATAGACCGACAACCAAAATACCGACAATAATATATGATGTAGTGATGGCCGATGGGCAACGATTAACGATATATTATATTTGACAACGATATCGATTTAAAATATTATTCGATATATTACGATTTCGTAATGATTAAATTGAAATCATTATTTTTAGTCTTTACTAGAAACAAGTGCTAATTTTCAACATTTTCGGCAATATTTACTATTATAATATTTGGGAGTCTTGAGCAACACTTAAATTATATTACATATTTTTTTAAATTAATTATCGGTGAATTCTTAAAATACAAACATAAATTAAACGTAAAATTAATTAATTACATATATTGTTGTCGGTCGATTGTCCATCTCTCGATAAATAATTTGCATATACGTACTCTTAAAAATTATTGTAAGCTCAAAGTACTAAATTTGTAGTTTTTTTTTTAAACAAATAAGGATTTTATATACTACAATATAATACATTTGTTTATAAAAAAAACATTTAAGACAGTACATAGGAAGAGTGAAAGTGTTAAATTGCGTACTTATTTAATTTTAATTTAAATTAAGCAGTAGTATAATAATATGATAATAATTATCATATAAATATATAGAAATTATTTCTATATCGTTAACTTCAATTGTTCGTTAGTTTTAAGCTACTGTTTTAAAATCACTGAATATATTTTATTATATAAGAGGTAAATTATCTCTGGAATCATACATTTATAAGAATAAGAGTCTAGTAATCTAAATTTAAATATTTTACGCATGCTTCAAAAAATGTTATGACTTACCAGTAATATTATTTTATAGCTTATAATATTAGACCAATTGTTTATCATTATACGATTATTTGTAAATAAATCCAGTCTTTCTCATCCAATAAATTAAATATTATTAAGATATTAATCGTATGTTTTGTTTTTTGTTAACTCTAACGTACCATGTGTATGGTTATTAATGGTACCTCAATAATTATTAAGTGATAAAAATAACAATTTATTTTATGGACTGTGAGGAAAGTGTGGTTATGCAATTATTTAAGTTTTGTTAAATGTAAGCTTTATCATAGACATATAAAAAATTAAAGAATTTTAAAGTTCAATTCTAAAATTCTACTAGATCTCTAATCACGTTACTACACGAGTTATACGGACATATAGTTATTATGAACATTACATATAGAACTTATACAAAAACTAATTTCACAATACTATTCAATGTTATAATATTTACGCGAATGATTGACGAACTGTGCATTTACTTAAATGAAAATAAAATAAAATTGTTACAATTCCGACAGACTTAACAGTCATTAAGTAAATGAAACCATTCAAATAATCCGAAAATAATCACATTGTTGATAATTTGTTTATATAGTTTAATGTTTAAAATTATTTTTCATTATATTATCTTTTATAATCATACATAATTCATACGATTCTTCTTTATTCGTTTTTCGTGATCGTTCAACTGATAAATATGTTTCGTAAAAAGGTATGTTATTAATAATACATATTCTTCAGAAATTTTCACAGAACAGTATTCTTGACGTATTATAGTACTTAGAATTAA